AGACTGGGAAGTTGGTTCCAAGGGCTCCACAAGGAGGTGGACAGCGTACAGCCTGAAGTCCACGTAGGGCCTAGGCCCCTGGGGCCTCTGGCACCCCATACCCTGCCCCAGCCTTCAGCCGGGAGGTTCTGATCTGCCTTGGTCAGAGGCACGTCCAGCATGTGGCTGGAGTATGCTGCCTGAATAGAAGAAATAAAATTCAGGATTGGAAAACCCTGACTTAGATGTAGGGCTCCACCTACACTCCTACCATTCACATTAGCTCAAGCTTTCAGCATCCCCGACCCGGACCTTGCACCCACAAGTCTGGGGAGGCTGAGGGTTGGTGCCTCCTGAGCCAGGGATGACTTACCAGGAGCCAAAAGGCAGACAGGGTTGACAAGGGGGAGATGGAGAGGACCAAAGAGCAATTAGGAAGCCCTCTTCCCATACGCTGCGATCTGGCTTCCCATGGTCGGGTCGGTGCTACCCAGGCCAGTTTCGAGGTAGCCTGAGCCCCCAGACCGCCATGGCCATCCTGCCCCACTAGGACTCCACTTCCTGTCACGTCTGAGCTACACCTACTGTCTCCCTGCCCTGGTCTTTGGCAGAGGCTGCAGGCCCCCCTCCAGGGTCCTCTTGGCCCTCGGTCTCACCCCGGGCTTCGTCCGCCCCACCTGGGCCCTCACCCAGCTCCAGGATGGTGGGTAGGTGGCCCTGCTTGGGGGAGCGCTTGCGCAGGCTGAGCAGGAAGGGCTGGGGCAGCGAGAAGATGTCCACGTTGTTGCCCAGGTCGATCCATGTGACACTGGGGAATCTGCTAGGGTCCTTGAGGGCATCGGTGAGGTCGCGCAGCAGGGCCCGTGTCAGCCAGTTGCCATTGAGGGCCAGTGTGGTCAGCCGGGGCAGCGTGCTGAGGGCCGGCAGCAGCTGGAGGACCATGTCGTCCGTGAGGCCTGTGAAGCCCAGCTCCACGCTGTCCACCTGCTCCCCGCAGCGCTGCAGGTAGCTGGTCACCCGCTCTAGGTCACGGGGGGTCAGTGGGATGCCTGACAGGTCCACTGTGTTGTCCGGAGGGCTCCCGGCCAGGACGGCCTTGAGGCTGGAGGGGAGACGGGACGGCAGGGTTCGAGCAAGTGGGGCAGGCTTTTCTCCGGAAGCGGCCATAGCCACCACCATGAGCCAGCCTCCACTTGGCCCTGTGACTCCCGGGGGCAGAAACCAGGGCCGCATGGCCCCGCGTCTCAGCCCGGCTGCCAGCAGGCAGAGCCTAGGGGACCACCGGGGGGCCCAGGTGTTTCTGCAGTGACTAAGGGTACATCTGGGGCCAAATGCCTGGGCCTGCACTTCACTCCTTTCTTCCTACTCAATGTGACCTGTACTTCCTTAACTTCTGCTCACCAGGTATTTACCTGAAAAATGGAGCTAACGGTATGCAGGGTTGTCATGTGAATAATAAATGCATTCTGAACAGTGCCCCCTGTATTGGAGTGGTGGATCGCTATTTCTCGCTGTTATTACGCACCACCAGGCTGAGCTCCTCGCTCCCCCAAGGGTAGCCCGAGATCTCGGGGCCCCTCCTTCAAGACCATCTTCCCCTCCAGAAGGAGGATGCTTAGGGAGGGCCCTCAGAACAGCAGTGGGGGGAGGTGCAGGGGCCTCAGCCTGGTGGGAGCTGCTGTACACCCGTCTCTACTCCTTGCCATCTGCCACCCCTTGCTCTGGGGCCAGAACCCCCCGTTTCCAGGTACCCCACGCAAGCCCTGAGGCTTCAACCCTGGAAGGAGAGGGAGGTGGAGGAGGCTCGGCCTCAGAATCACGAAGAAAACAGGCTATGGGAAGAGCTCAGTAAGAGTTCCAGCATGGGGGGAGCGGGGGAAGTGCAAAGGCCCTGAGGCTGGTAGAGCTCAGTGTGTCTGTGAATCCAGAGGAAGGCCAGTGTGGGAGGAGAGACCAGAGTAGGCTGAGAACCCGCACTTGGGCTTGTTCAGGTTTCACTCAGTGGGATGGGGAGCCACCCAGGGGGAGTGAGGCTTTTGAGCGTGCATGTGTGTTGGGGAGACAAGAGGCCCTTGGGTCCGAGCAGAGCGCCAGTGTCCAGATTCTCCATCCTAGAGAACTAGCTCACAAGCCTCCTGGCATCCCAGGCCCCACGGCTGCTCCTGTCCTGCTGTGCCCCCACATTGGCCCCTCTCCCTGCCCAGCTGGAGCGCCCCACTTTGCTCGCTTCCTCCTCCAGGGAAGGGCCCTGAGGAACCATCTCCTCTCCCACTTGGTGGGGACGGTGGGGGGGCGGTATGGAGAAGGGAAGGAGGGCCAGAACGCTTTTCTCTCCACGAGGGGCTGTCCTTCCCTCCTGTCTGCAGGATGCCCGCCCGCCAGCAAGGCCCTGCCAGAGTCATCAGGACACCAGCCACTCTGCCCCACGATTTGCAAGAAATTCCCCTCAGCTTCTTCCTACAGTGCCATCCTGACCCACAGGTTCTGAGTCCCAGTGTCCCCTCTGCCCCCAATGTTCGGGGGCCACAAACCCCTGAGGCCCCCACTGCTGCGTGGGCAGACACACGGCCAGGGTCTGTGTCCCCCTGGGAGATACCAGGATTGCTGGGGAGAGGGGAGGCGGGAGAACCCAGGGTCAGCACACCAGGAAATCAAACTCCTCTCCCTCCCTCCACATTCCCAGCCTCCACCCCGCAGCCCAGCCTGCTGCCAGCGTCTCTCAGGGCTCAAGCCCCCAGGGACATCGCCCCTCCCCCCGCCACCGCTTTCGCCCAACCCGAGTTCTTCACCTCACCTCCTCCAGGCAGCTCCCCCTATCCCCGCCCAACGCCCCACCCGACACAGTGCTGTCCTTGTGCAAGGAAGCTGGGTGGGAAAGAGGGACAGACCCGCCTGGGTGATTGCAACTCACCAGGCCTGCGGCTTTCTCTTGCCCAGCCCGCGTTGCGGCCTCCACTGCGAGTGGGGGCTCAGGTGGTAGGTCAGCTGCCGGCACAACTTCTCCATGGCGCCCAGCGCGTCGCCTTCCTGCAGAGGCAACCACAGGCGGTGGGTCCCTGAGTCGGGGAGCCGGGAGCCCAAGCCCCTACCTCCAGCCTCCTGTCCCCGCAGGAGGAGAGGAGTAGGGGGAGGGGGGCCCACTCTGTGCTGGCCTCAGGTGGCCACCCTGAGCAGGGAGCAGGGTTGCAGAACTGATCTGCACAATGGTTTTAGTTTCTGTGAATCAGTTGCTGTCACTGAAAAAACCTGAGATTTCTATAAAAGTCTGGATTCCACGTGGTCTGATCACTGACCCCTTAGCCAGGGTTTACCAGGGTCCCTGCCACTGCTCAACACCAAGGCTGTCCAGCTCACCCTCTCGCTTCACAAGTCCCCACTGGGCTCCCCTGAGTGCGAGGCACTCGCTCTAGAAGCTGGGGATTCAACAGCGAGTAAACGTCCTCACTTCCATATTTCCCACAGTAAGGAGGAAAGTGAAATACTTTGTACGACTCTTCTGCCCTCGCCAGCCCTGGTGGAAACAAAAGAGTGGCAGACCGAGTCCTTCCCAGCCCGCTTCACTCCTCAGCGCTTGAGCGTGAGACCCCAGGCGTTATTGCCTGAACTGTGTTCCCCAAATTCTTAAGTTGAAGTCCTAATCCCCAGTATCTCAGAACGTGGCTATACTTGGAGACAGGGCCTCTAAAGAGCAATTAAGGTAAGATGAGGTCATCGGGGTGGGCCCGGAGCCAATATGACTGTGTTCTCAGGAGAAGGCAGCAGGATGCAGACACTCAAGGTGAGAAGACTGCGTGAAGATGCAGTGAGACGACAGCTGTCGGCCGCCTACAAGCCAAGGAGAGAGGCCTCAGAGGAAACCAAGCCTTGATCTCAGACTTCCAGCCTCCAGAACTGCGAGGAAACCAATTTCTGTTGCTTAAATGGCACTCTGTCACTGCAGCCCCGGCAAACTAGCACACCAGGTTAAAGGACGCCACAGGGAGAACTTGGAAGTCAATCCAACAGTCACCAAGCCCTGGTGACTGAGCAGCCAAGAGTGTGTTCTCCAACCAGATGTTCCAGTGCCAAGGGCCAGGGAGTGCCAGGCTCAGATGCAAACCCACGTGCAGACAGCAACGCGACATGGTCACATCAACCATTAACCCATGTCCCGTGCCCGGCAGGGCACCTGGCACAGAGTGGGTACTCAGTCGAGGCCACCTTGATCACAACCATTGTCATCATCACGCTGCTGGTGGAGAAGCAGCTTACAGTCGTCCCCCCTCATCTGCTGTTTCACTTTCCAAGGTTTGAGTAACTGTAGTCAACTTTGGTCCAAAAATATTAATGGAAAAGTCCACAAATAAATAACTCATAAGTTTTAAATTGTGCACGGTTCTGAATAACCAGATGGAATCTGTGCTGTCCCACCCTGTCCTGCCCGGATGTAAATCATCCCTTTGTCCGGCATATCTGTACTGAATACACCACCTGCCCATTGGTGTAGGTTAGGTTTGGTACTACTTGCAGTTTTGGGCATCCACTGGAGATCTTGGAATGTATCCCCCGCAGATAAGGTGGGGACAACTGTACTGAGGAGTTAAGAGCATGGACTTGGAGCCAAATTCTGCGGATTCAGATTCTTGCTTTGTCATCTCCTGTGTGACCTTGGGCAACTCACTTGACTTCTCTGTGCCTCCAAGCCTCATCTGTGAAGGGATCACAGTATCGACCTCACAGAGGATTTTGTGAGGATTAAATGAGTCACTATCTGTAAAGTGCTCTGCATACAGCTCAGAACACAGCAGACTCTCGGGGAAAGCGCCTAAGTGAACACAGTGCTGCACCGGAAGGCAGCGAGAGCACACAGACATCCGGCAGAGGAAAGGAGGAAGGCTGCTTCTGCCCAGGCTCAGATCTGAGCCCGGCTTTTAAGAGTGGATGGGTTACTGGATTTTGGATGAGGCGCCCCTGAGTGGGAGTAAAGAGTGAGCAAGGGCCAGGGGTGTGGGGTTGTTACGGGGATGGGGGCAGGTGACAATCTGGGGCCTGACTGCTTCTCGCCACCTCCCTGGTCCCAGCCACTGCCGTGTGACCTGGGTGGCTGCACACAGGCATTACACTAGGGCTTTACAGCATTCCCCCCACAACTTCAAGCAGTAAATGTTTTCTTACTCCCATTTTACAGAGGAGGAAACTGAGGCTCAGAGAGCCAGGGGATAGGGCTGGTGGAAAGGAGGCTCTAAGGGAGGGAGACAGGAGAGAAAGGAGGCAGGAAGTGGGGGGCTGAGTGTCCAAAAAGGTGAAGCATCTGAGCAGAGACCCAGGAGGCAAAGGAAGGATGAGACGGAATGGCATTGGCTAAACCTCTCTGGTCTGCCTGAACCTCGACCTCTATTTCCTAAGTCAGCCTGCCTGAGAAACTACCGCTACCTGTCACTCCAGGCAACTGCATCTGCACCCCCGGAGTTGACGTCCTTCGTTTCTAGACTTGGTTCCTTGCTGAGTCTGATCGTGCGGTGTGTGTGAAATGGGATGCAGATAGGGTCACAGGGGAACGAAAGGTCACGTTTGCATCTTGGGACCATCCCTCTGGCTGGGAGGCAGAAAAAGGGGTGGACTGGAGAGGGTGGACTCAGGCCCTTGGAAAGGCTGACTGTAACAGAGGCCACTACACTGGACTAACGGTTACAGCACGGAGCGGGTGTGGGCAGGGAGGAATGAAGAGGGCTCCAGGCTTTGTGCTCAGGACCTGGGAGAAGGCAGGGGCTCCGGAGAGGAAGCAGGTGAAAAGGCCGGGTCAGGGAGTGACCAGTTTATGTGGAGCTATGTGGAGTTTGAAGGGCCGATGGGACGTCCAGCTGGAAGATGCGATTAGATTTACGGAGCTGGGGCTCGAGGCAGGTCTGAGCTGGACACATTCATCTGATTAAACCCCCTGGTTAGGGAATGAGCAGAGAGGGGAGATGGGGGAACAGCGGAATATCAAAGGGGTAGGGGAGGACACACGGACATGAAGTGATGGAGAAGCTGGGTCAGAGAAGAGAAGTAAGCAGAGCCATGGGCACCAAGGAAAAGGGGGTCCAGTGCGATTAGACACCTCATCGAGGCCCCTGGGACTTCAGTGAGTGGGTGCTGGCCGGCACAGGCTCAGGGAGCGGCGGTCTCGCTGCTGGCCGGGGTGAAGGCCAACTCTGGAGGCCAAGGGGAAAGGGGAGGAGGTGGCACACCTAGAGCTGCGCGTCTCCACGTGGTACCCCTGGCATTCAGGAATCACCCAGAGCTTTAGAGACTCCTGCTGCCTGCACTGCCCCCAGCGATGGGTGGGCAGCTCCGGCGAGGGGAGTTTTAAAAGCTCCCCAGGTGATTCCCCTGTGCCACCAGGTGGACACACTTTAAAGACAAGGAGGACCAGCAGGTGGGATGAGGTGGTCGGCGAGCATCACTCCTGGGACCACCCCGAACGTGGCCAGTCTCCCACAGCACCTGCTCCAAAGCTGAGACGTGAGCTCCTCAGCTTCGGCTCCTCCTCCAACCACTTCCCAGGGTTTCCAAAATCTGCGGCCAGGAATCTCCCTTCCACCCTCCAGGTCTAGAAGGAAGAAACGGCGAAAGAGGCGGCAAAGCAGCAGCCGCAGTGCCCCGGCATTGCCACCAGAGGGCAGTCGCGCGCAGGGCGAGGCCCGGGATCGACCGGCTGCCCCGAAGCCGAACCCGTTTCCTCATTTACGGAACAGGGAGGGAAAACGTGCTCATCGCACTGGGCGGACCTACGTACGTGAGCTCAGGTCCTCGGGAGTGACAGCCCCTCCAGCTGTCTGGACCAAATAAACATTATGTCCCACCCGCCCAGCCCTGCTCTGTGCTCCCCCTTCAGAGCTCGGCGTGGAACAGGCGCTCCGACCAGCGGCTCTACGAATGCCAGTGCGGCGCCAGGATCCGAACCCGCAGGCGCTCCGAGGCTGGCACTCGCTGGGCCCTCCCCTCCAGCGATGAATCTTTCGAGAAGGTAGGTTCAAGGTGCTTCTATTACTTGCAACCAGAAAACCCTCAAGCAGGCCCAGCTGTTGTCCCAGCTCCATCACTTTTGGAAGCGGCAGCCGAGTCTCCTCTGGCAGGAGGAGGTGAGCGAGACTGGGCAGGACTGGCCCAGCAGTGCAGGAGGAGGAAGGGAAGGGAGGGAGGCGGCGAAAAGGGGGGGAGGATGCTGGCCCCGCTCCTCTAGGAACTTTGTTCTGAAATCCCTGGAACCCAGCAGCCCTCTGTGGGACCAGACCCCTCTCCCAAGCCTCAGCTGACTGGTCCACAAGTAGGCACCAGAATGCCTCCTTGAGATGGAGACATCCCGACTCCTGGGGGCTGAACCCCGAATTTCCTGCCATGAGGCGTGGGAAGCAGGGATGGGGAGTGAGGCCGGGTGGAGTGGGGAGGAGGCGGTGTCTGCGCTGTTTCATCTGTGGTTCTAGTGCCTCTTTCAGGCTCTTGGCCCCACAAGACCTCTCCCTGTGGGGAGGATGAATCCTCTTCCTGGCTTGAGTCAGCCCTCGTGGGCTTCTGTTACTGCAACAGAGGCTTCACCGGCCCCCTTCCCGCCCCCAGAGGCTCCAAGACGGGTTGTAGAATCTGCTCCCTGCAGCTCTTCCTCCACTGTGGAATAGGAAGGCGGGGTGGCACGAGTGGGGGTGACTTAGCGCCTGCCAAGGGCTGCTGATCTGAGGGGGCCCTGGAGAAGAGCCTGCTTGAGGGGTGCACTGGCTAGTCAAGAAAGATGCTCAAGGCTGACCTGCAGGCCCCGCCAGGTGGGGTCAGTGTCCTTCGTCTCAGACGGTGATGCCCGCCCTGTCCCCTGCTGTCTTCATTCCACAGACACCTGTGTTTGCTGCCCCAGGACTGTGACAAGCACAGCCCTCAACCACTCTGCACCCAACGCTTCTCTCATTCATTCATTCATTCATTCATCAAATATGGCCCAATGTGCGCTGGGCCACAGCCCAGATACTGAGCCGAGGGCTGGGTTTTCTGTTAACTCCTCCCCCAGCTCATTCTCTGGTCTCCTCTGTGCTGGGAAGGCTGAACTCTTGCAGACACATCGTCTGGCCCTCTTGCTTCCAGCTGGACTCAGCAGATGGGAGCAAATGGAGGGAGCCTGAAGGGCAGGAGAGAAAGGCCCTGGGTTGGCCCTTCTCATTCCCATCCTGCTTTAGCCAGCCTGCAAGACGCCCCTCCAGATGGACGCTAGCCTCCTCGGAGAGCGCTTGTGTGCCCCTTCCACGCTGCATCAGGGCTGATCGGGCCCATCAACACACTCTGGCAGCAGTGACGGTACGTGACGTCTGAGGCTGACACACAGAAGACATTGTGGCTTCTTCCCTGCTCTCTGGAACCCCACCCGCCCTGGGAGAAGCCTGCTGCCCTGATGTGAGGAAGCTCAAGCAGTCCTGGGGACCAGCCCAAGTGGCAAGGAGCTGAGGCCTCCTGCCAGCAGCCCTGGGATGCGCTGTCCTGCCAATCCCCGTCGAGCCTTCAGATCCTCACAGCCTTGGCCAGTGTCCCGAGCCCCTGACTAGAGCTGCCTAGCTGCACTGCCCCTGAATTCCCGACCTACACAGACGGCCCAGCGAAGAGTGTCTCCTGTGTGAAGCCGCCGTGGCTTGGGGGGGGTCTGTTGTACAGTAACAGCAAAGAACACGGGCCCGGAAGAGGCATTCTCCCGGCCCCAGCAACACGGCTTCTCCTGGCAGATGTCCTCAGCACATCTCCAGGCTCACCCTCACTCTAGCGTCTGCTGGTGGGGAGCCTGACCGGAGAGGTGATGGAAGAGAGGTGCGGGGTGGGGCTGTGGCACAGGGGCAGAAGGAGCCCCAAAGTTTCCTGCTAGAGGATCTGTGCTGACAGCGGGGTGGGTGTCTTTGGAGTTCGAAGCCAGCCTGTGGATGCGGACTTGGATCTATCAGTACACAGACGTGGGTGGGATGGGGTTGCCTGTTCCCCCCACCCAGGCAGGCACAGACCCACTCCTCTCCAGGGTCTCAGCCCATACCCAGTTGGGGTACAGGAGAGGGTTTTGGGTAGGCTGAGAAAACAGACGGGACTCATTCGAGGCGGTCACCTTAGCCGAGGGAAGGGTGATTTGTCTTGTGGATGCTTCACCAGGAGATAGGACCAGATTGCCCCATCTCGTAGCTAAGGGAGCCGCCCTCGCCCCGCCCATAGCTGATGGTCTTGACACCTCTGCCTACAATCTCTAGGCTCATACTTGGGCTGACCTGAAATTCTCAAACGAAAGAGGTCGGAGCAGCAAGTCCTGGCCAGCCCTGAGCCAGCTCACACAGCGAAGGTGGGTGCAGAAGTTGTCCCCATCTCCAGCTTGGGGACCCTGTAGCCAGGACCTCCCACCTTGGCCTCAACCACAGCTGGCAGAGTCCTCCCGAATGGCCTCTCCTGCCACACGGTCTTGGTGGGGCACCGGCCAGGCCCCTGACCCCACTCAGGCTACCTCTGGAGATCTGGGTTGGCAGGCAGCCCACTGATTTCCAAGACTCTGGGTCCACAGGGACCGCTGTCTTCCTTGCCTCTGTGACTGACCCACAATTGACCTGCTAGGTCTGAGCACCCTGCTTGGCATGTGGTCAGGGCTAACAAACCAGTTACACGTGGGCTTCTGTGCACAGGGCGCTCGGCTGGGCCAGGCACACGCTCGTGCTTCTTATAAATCACCTCCCTGAACTCCCATAAGGGCTGATAGGAGAGGGTATGGCTCTGTCCCGCTAGAGCTGGGAGAACCAAGTTCAGCTAATTAAGTGCCCTGGGAAAGCTACACCTGCGCGATGGGCTGAACCCTCATTCATAAGTTGAACCCCATCCCAGTGGGGTGGTGTCTGGGGTGGGGCCTTGGGGAGGTGATTAGGGTTAGATGAGGTCACGAGGGTTATAAAAAGAGGCCAGAGAGCTGGCAAGCTTTCCTGCTGCCACGTGAGGGCACAAGGAGCAGGCGGCCGCCGGCAGACCAGGAAGGGAGCCCGCACCAGAACCCGACCGTGCTGCACCCTCATCCCGGGCCTCCAGCCTCCGAGACTGGGAGAGATGCGTGTCTGCTGTCTGCCACCACTCAGTGCATGGAACATGATACTGCAGCCTGAGCAAAACCACCTGAGAATGGCCCCCCTGGTCCCCCGGGGAGGGCACGCATTGCCGTGTAGGACCCCTCGGCCCACCCCTGCTTCTTAGCCACAGCCTGTCTCCCGGGGCTGACATGCGCAGCTGTCCACCTGCAGACCCACCTGTGTGGAGGGAGGCAGGCACTGCAGCTGCTCCCACACAGGCCTCTCCTCCCCGGCCCTGCCCCCGCCCCGCAAGCTCTGTGGCACTAGGGCCCAAACCACGCAGGTTCTCACCTGGGGTGTAACCTTTCTCAGATCACTTCATCACCTAATCTTCGTCTTCCTCAACTCTAAAATGGGAGTAAAACAGTCCTCTCCTCTTAGCTGCTCTGAGTGCCCTGTGATCCGTCACTCCTCTTACCCCTGGGTGACTAAACCCACACCCTAGAAGGGGCAGGGGCCTGGCACCTGCAAGGCACCCACGCCCCGGTCCCAGCTCCCCAGACGAGCCAGGTATAACCTGAATGAGAAGCGGGCGGTTCCAGCTCCAGCCGGTCCCCCGTGGCTCCTGCACCAGCAACTCTCCCCCAGGCCTTGGGGCTCCCAATCCTCAGACCCTCATTATTGTGGCGCGTTTGAGCCCAGCACCCCTGCCACCTTCCGCATCCCTCCACAACCCCTCCAGCGCCTGCCCTCAGCCCTCCACAGCCAGCTCCCCACCTCGGAGCCTTGGTGCCCTGAAGCCGGAGCAAAGGCCCTAGGCAAGGCGCCAGATGGAGGCTCCGCCCCAAAGCAAGGTTCAAGTTTGCACCCAGGCAGGCAGAGGGTGGACTTGGGAACCACCCCTCTCTGCTCCCGGGTCCTGTTCTGAAGCTGAGGCCTCCCTCAGGCGCTCCCCCATCCTCCTTTGGCTTCCTGCCCCTTCCTTCCTGCTAGAAGGAAGCGCATCTTTTGGAAGCTGCTGGTAATTGGGGGGTGGGAGAGAATAAATGAAAACAGAAAGAAAAGCTCAAGTGTGGAGTTGCCCTTCCCTGGCCCTCCCCTCCCTGCCTGGGTCCCAGTGTGGACCCAGGAGGCAGCAGGAAGAGGGTCAGATCCCCTGCCCAGAGGGGCTGGGCAGCACCGCGGAGCCAGGCGGGAAGTGGACATGAATGAAGCGGTTGGGTGTAAAATGACACTCAGCCTCAGAGAGGACAGCTGGGAGTGGTGGGGACTGAGGCCAACTGAGAGCAGCACACAGGGCCATGGCTACACCACACGGCACTTTGTGCAAATAAGAAAAAGCCCACCTCTAGGTGGACGTAGCCTTGCACTCGTGCCCATGCTGGTAGGCAGAGAGAGGGCTGGATCTGAACTGTCACCTGTCTCCCCCACCCCAGCACCCCAGCACCTCCGTGTACATGTCTTTGTGCAGGGTACAACCTGCACAACTGTCTGTGGCAGCCCTGGCCCCACTTATAGGGGTGGCTATTCAGCCTCAGCCCTGTAGAAATGAGGGCTTCCTGTTCCTGGAACGTCCCATTTTTCAAGGGCAGCCAACATGGGGACTGTGTGAAATACTCTGATTTTTAAACGTGGGCAATGAATCTGGATTTACAGCCCTTGGGCTGAACAAGACCAGGGCTGATGGCACCCGGGTGCAGCCCTCACCATGGAGGCTGGGCCTTGGGGCTGGGTGGGTGCCTCAGGTGCCTGCACGAGGGGCCCGGGCAGCACTGACCAGCCCCTCTTGGGCACTCGGCTATTCTGCCCAGGAAGCTGCCCACCTCACACCCTGGACCTGGCTGGCTCAGACCACAGCCGCCCTACCGGCTTGGGGCAGTGGATGTAGCGGGCCAGGCTGATGACGAGGTCGTGTGTGATGGGGTCCACCAGGTTCCTGAAGCTGGCGTAGCGGTATAGGACGTCATCCAGCGAGGTCGACTCCATGCCTAGGTCCTGCAAGAGTGAAGGATGCCCAGAGGTCAGGGAGGCCCCACTCTACCCTGAGTCCCGCCCAGCACGCCCAGAGCAGCCCCTGGGACCAGCAGAGCCCTGGTGAGGGAGAAGACCCCTCCAGAGAGGTTCCCATCCTGCACAGAAGCATCTACATAGGTGCCCTGGGGCCAGCAAGCCCCGCAGACACGGCCACCCAGCCTGAGGGCCTCTCCACCTCCCCTGGGGACGAAGCCAAGCGTGGCTGGCCACGGAAGCGCTGGGGCTGCTTCTCCATCGGAACGGCATGACAGTAAAATTCCCCGGCTTTGTGGCAGGGTCACCTATTGATACTTGTTTTCTTCTTGCTTCAGAGGTCATTTTTACTGCTCCTTCCATAAAGGGCCCAACCTCAGTGCTCCTTTGCCTTGGAGGGGGTCTCTGAGTCGTGAAGTTGAAAGAAGAAGTCGTCAGGCCCCCAGAAGAAAACCCCACCAGGGCTCTCTAAGAAAGGGTGTCAAGTGGGGCCATCCTAAGAGGAGGGCAGGGAGCACGGGGGCAGAGTGCGGCACATGGTGGGCCTTGGAGGAAACCACTGGAGCAGCGGTGCCCCAGGCCTGGGGAGGCGCGAGGGCTGGGGGGCACCGGCTGGGAGCCTCTGCAGAGACCCCTGCCCACCAGCAAGGGGCCCCACGGGCGTGGCCAAGAGCAGTGACAAGACTGGGACCTAATCCCAAGGGCTGCTCCAAATGTTCTGGACTGAATCAGACTCCAAGATTCCTGTCTGACCCCGAGAAGGAGGCAGTCCCCCCAAGCAGCACTGAACTTGAATTTCCCACCAGCCAAGCTGGAGGGGGCTTGGAACAGAGTTAACTGCTTCAGAGAAGTAAAGAATGACGGCTTCAACGGCAGAGCGTTGGACTAAACGCCACACCTGTGTATGAGGAAGAGCTTGGGTCTGCCTTCTGACTCTCCTCAAAGCCCTGGCCCAGCTTCTCTAGTCCTTCCTGGGAGCTGTGGCTCCTGTTCTCAGCCTGGGGCCTTGCACAGAGTGAGCAAAAGGACATGCTCTCCTGGGGACCCTAGGTCCCCGGGGCCCCAAGCCGATGTGGCGCTGCCCCGTCACAGCCCAGAGGAGGCAGGCTCCTGGGCTGGGTCCGGTGACCCAGCTGGGGACAGGAATGTGTGGTGGCGAGAGTCCCAGCTGGGGTCTGCTCCCTGTCGTTAAGGTTGATTATCCTGAACTTTTCTAAACTCCTCCCCCATGTGATTCTTAGAAATCCCTGAATGCTAGTAGGCTGGGTACCACTACTCCCCATTTACAGATGAAGAAACTAAGGCCCAGAGCCACTGACCTTAACGTCAGAATTTCAGGAATGGCACGTACGACTGATGGCTGTAGTTAGCACTGCTGTGTGGTATCTGTGCGAGTTAAGAGTGGCTCCTAAAAGCTCTCATCACAGGGCGGAAAGCAGTTTTGTCTTCTGATTACCTGAGGTGATGGGTGTGCACTGGACTCACTGCACTGGGTCAGGCCGTCATGCGCCTGCCTCAGCCTAAGTGCTCTATGTCAGCTACGTCTCAATAGCACTGAAAGAAAAAAGTCACATGCAATAAAGATGCTACAGAGGAATTTCAGGAACGGTGGGGGTGGGCTTCGGCCTCAGCCTGGGGCCTGCCTTTGGAGGCTCGGCCTTCTCTGTGGGTGGGCGCTGCCCTGCGGTTTGGCGGCTGATGTTGCTAAGAGCGAAGAAAGAGAGGGCTTTGCTGGTGTCTCTGGAGGGGCCGCCCTCAGCCCCGGAGGGAGCCTGGGGAGACTGGCGAGCCCGCGCCCCAGCCCGGTCCCACCAGCTAAGGTTCCTAGCGCTCTGCCCCCACATCCCAGCTCCTCGCAGGAAGGAACGGGTCTCCAGCTCCATCGAGGGCACCAGGGGGCCATCTTGGGCCTGTGTCTGTTTGGCAGGAATGAGCCCCAGAGACAGCCTCTCTGGCTGCCCCGCCAGCCTCTCTGGCTGCAGAAATACTACATGGCCAGCCCCCCGGGTGTGGGTGAGGGCAGCCTCCGAGTGCCAGCTGCCGGGTTCTAGGGCCGAGGGCCTCTGCTGGGCCAAGGGCAAGGCAGCGCCGGGGAGCGCTACCTGGGCCACCACGCCTCAGTCCTCGCCTGTAAAGTGCGCACGGTGACCTGCATCACAGGTGGGCCGGAGAAATACCTAGTGGCACAGGCAGCACCTGGCAGGGGTGAGAATCCCAGCCCAGCTCCACAATCCCCCGCTTCCGGTCCCCCCGACCGAGGCTGAGGGTCTTAGCCTCTCGGTAGATCCCCAGACCCTTTTGAGAACACAACAAAAGCCATGACCTCTCTCTCTAGAGAAATGCCAGTCGGGGCAGGACAGGGAGTCTGGCACACAGCCCAGGCCAGCCTCACGCTCAGCAGGGGGACACAAATGGTCACCCAGCAAAGTGCAGACACCAGGGCCACCCTCCGTGTGGCAGGAGAGGCTGAGGACGCAGGAAGGGGGTTCAGACTGTAAATGTGGGCAAGAGACCTCTTCCCTCTGAGGGTCTGCTTCCCCATCCGTGAGACGGGCAGATGAGCCACACCGGGAGTTACCACACCGGCTTCCTGGATCTTGGGGTGGACAGTGACAAGGAGAGAGGCCAGGAGAGTCAGCGAGGCCTCAGGCCCAGCTCTGCTGACTGCCCTTTAGTCAAAAAAAAAAAAAAAAAAAAAAGAAAGAAAAAAATGCAGTTCTGTTGCTAAAGAAACGTTTGAAACCTCTGGACTGGATGGCTGCTTGGGTTTCTTGGGGAAGTTCCTGCCCACCCCACCCCACCTTCCCACCCGTCCTTTCCAGGCCAGTGGAGGCCACCCCATCCTGGAAGGCCCAGGGAACCCTAGCTGCTGACCCAGGATGCTGGGGCAGGTGTGGGAAGATGTGAACTGTTCTTCCCCAGAGACGGCCCCTGATGTCCCTGGCCTCCATGTCCCCACCCCTGCTGTCACCCTGGGCACCCAGCCTGCTGACAGTGGCTGCTCTTGTCTGGGGTCATGTAGCTGTTGCTGGGGAGGGGGTGGGGAGGGGTCACCCAGGAGGGCAGACATGGCCCTGATCCAGGCTCTGGGGAACTCGGAGTCACAGCCACCGCCCGCCCTGTGACTTCTAGCTGGGGTGGGGCTCCCCAAGGCCCCAGGGCTCCCTGTGACTTCCAGCTGGGGTGGGGCTCCCCAAGGCCCCAGGGCTCCCTGTGAATTCCAGCTGGGGTGGGGCTCCCCAAGGCCCCAGGGCTCCAGATACAAGAGGCTGCAGCAGGAACAGCCGCCCAGGACCGGAGCGAGGCTGCTATGCGTTTTATTGCTTTCTTACTGTACCTGGACCCACCCAGGCCCACACAGTGCCTGTGCTGCTCTAGGACACTGGACACCCGAGGGCCGCAGGCCACTGCCGGTGTCCTTGGTGTCCTCTCCACTTTCTCCACTAAGCCAGTGACTGGGGACGAAGTGTCACAACTGCGCTGCCGGTCCTGCCGACGCTGCCCAGCAGGGGCCTCAACACTCCCCAGGCCCTGGCTGCATGGGGGACGGGGGTGGGGACGGGGGGGGGGGGGGGCGGGAACCACACGCGCCTCCTCCAGCTGCTCTGGCCTTGGAGGGGCCGGCCTGCCTTGCGAGTACCAGGCCCTCATTAAGGGTCTACAGGATGCTCTCTAGGAGCTGTACGTGGACGGTTCTCCATCAGGAAGCCTGGGAGCATCAACAGGTGCTCCTGAGTCACCGCGGTGGGCAGCTTGGCATGGAGAGTGTCACTGGCCTGGGACCAACGTGGCCAACGGCCAGCACATGTCATCTCAAAGAAGTGGGGCCCCCATGTTACTTGAGCTTGAAGAACCAGGTCTGGGGACTCACTCCAGGGGAAGAGAGATGTGGACCTGAGGTGAGGGGTACAGCTTTCCAAAAAGCGAGCAGAGATTCACATAGGAGGGTTACAACTGCGGTTCTCAGAGTGTGAAGGTGACCCTCCAACTCTTTTAGGGGCCCTGAGCTCCTCCTTCCAGCGACGGATTGGCCTGGCACTATGTTTTCTTTGTAGACTTCACCCAAAACCACCTATTGCAGAAGCAGCAGGTATGAGAATCCAGCCACACGTGAAAGATTCACAAAACTATGCAACTATGCGCTCTTCTCACTATTTTTTTCTTTTGGAAAATACAGTTATTTGCATAAAAGTTTATTTCTGTCACAGGTAAGCTTATTAACTTTAAATGAATAAATAAATTAAAATATTTTTGTTTTAACAAGATTATACGGTATAGCACAGGGAAATATATACAAGATCTTGTGGTAGCTCACAGCGGAAAAAAATATGGCAATGAATATATGTATGTTCATGTATAACTGAAAAATTGTGCTCTATACTGGAATTTGACACAACATTGTAAAATGACTATAACTCAATAAAAAAGTGTTTAAAAAAAAGAAAAAAATTTGTTTTAATTTCTTATTCAATAGATAAGATGTTCTTATACAACAGCATTTACTAGTTATGACCCACATAGAGAAAACCTTTTTGAAGTCCTCAATAATTTCAGAGTATACAGATTCCTCAAAAAATTAAAAACAGAACTACCGTATGATCCTGCAATCCCACTTCTGGGTATATGTCCAAAGGAAACGAATGGTCCATGGAAGAGATACCTGCACTCCCATGTTCACAGCAGCATTACTCACAACAGCGAAGACACGGAAGCACCTAAGTGTCTGCCATCTGACGAATGGATGGGGCAGGTGTGCTCTGTATATACAGTGGAAAACTACTCAGCCATGAGAAAGAAGGAAATCCTGCCACCTGCAACCACATGGATGGACCTTGAGGACATTAGGCTAAGTGAGATAAGTCAGACAGAGCAAGACAAATACTGCATGACTTCACTTACATGTGGAATCTAAAAAATAACTGAATGTGAAGGACAGAGTGGACTGGGGCTCGGGGTGTGGATGGGAGACAGTGTTTAAGGATACATAC